AAAATTCTTAAAGCGATAAAAAAGAAAGTTTTCTGAACCATAAACTGTTTTATATGCATTACAGAGTGTGCATACTTTAGATGGCACTGAACAAAACTTGCATAAAGCTAAACAAAAGATTTAATTGTAATCAAATATATTTTCAGACATTTTAAAATGAAAAAGAATTTTAATAAAATTATTTTGAACAACTGTTATTAAACTATAAACCATATAAAGTTTTTAAAATATTTGCTTAGCAACAGTAACAAGCTATTTGTTTTATTATTATTAACTATTAATTATATAAGTATATAAGTGTTCAAAATTATATAAATATATAAGTGTTCAAAAATTTTATTTATAAATATTAATTACAAAAATTATTATCAATTTGTAAACTAATTTTATAAATATACTTAACTAATTTAAAGTACCTTGTTTTTGTTTTTCTCTTCTTTCTGGATTTTCAAAATGGCGAGCAGAAAGTAATGTTTCTGGTGCTTTACCTGTTCGAAATGGTCTTACACTTTCAAAATTTTTCTTTACATTTAGTTTAAGTGTTTTTAACCAAGCTTTTAATGAAAAATCAATATCATTTAAAACTGGGCATTCACAAATACAATGGCGTGAATATTTTTTGTTTTCAGAAGTTTCTAAGGACTCTGTGGAACGCTGTAAATCTTCTTTCAAACTTTTTGACATTAACTCTGGATTAGTATGTCCTTTGAGGTAATGATTTTGAAAATCTTTTTTAACTGGTGTCTTACAAGAAATAGCTTGTTTAGTTTCTAAGTTATCGGTCTAAAAATTAATTAAGGGGCATGTAAGTTATCTGTTGAAAGCAAAGTTATAAACTAAATTAAACAAACAAAAAAAGAAAAAAAAAAAGAAAAAAGAAATAGAAATATAAAAAAAGAAGAAGAATGAATCAGTTACATGTAGTTGCTTTTTTAATTGTGGTGAAATTTCATCAGCTAGTTGATCTTCAAATGTTGTGGTTGATGAAAAAATAAACTTTGGATCAAGAATCTGAAAATTTTAAATTAAAATCTATCACATAAAACTGTTAAAAATATTTTATTTAATCTTCCACCAACTTTTATTTAATCAACTTTTAAACAACTTTTATTTAATCTTCCACTTTTTGTTAAATTTAGTACGAAATTGCAATTTAAAGATAAAGTTGCTGTTATAAGATAACGGTAAACATTTTTATTAAATACTTCTTTAATACAAATTTTATTACAATTTTACTTTTAGTAATTGTTTTTACTTTACATGATACTATAAAAAAGAAAAAAACAACAACCAAATATTGCAATATTATATTAACATTGCATAATGTATGCAATATGTATGCAATAATGCAAGGTAATGCAATAATTATACAATAAAATTGCAAATATTGCAATATTACACTTTAAACAATGATAAAAAACTATTTATTGACAAAAACATCACAAAGCATTAACTTAATACTTTAGGAAAAACAGGAACAATCAAGACCAAATGAGTCAACTCAAAAAAAAATAAACTTTTTTTTGAGTTGACTCATTTGGTCTTTTAAATTGAATAAATTAGTAAATTAGTTAGTATGTATAAATTAATTTTATGATGTATTGTCTAGATTGGTGAAATGGACAATGATACTAACTGTGGAGAAAACAATAATGAATATCAAAATGTGAATGGTAATTTGCTTGACGATTACCTGGTTCTGCAATTACAGTTGGCGATGCAATTGCACTTACAAATGGTCTTGATGTTCTTTTGGATTGAACATGTTGTATTGACGATTCTTTTTAATTTGTTGAAACTTGAAATGATTAATTATCAAATTTATACATTTTTTATCAAATAGTTAATACAAAAAAATAAACATGTAAATTGTTATATTTTCTGTAAAAATTGTTTTCTTAATCTATTTCAATTGTTTATCACTGCATGTATATCACTTATAGTATGATATTATTTGTAATTTTTTGTTTTATTTATTTTCAGTATGCTTATACATATGCGTGTGCTAAATATTGTGGTGAAGTCAAAATTTAATGTTTTAGGTGCATTATAGCTATTAATTTTCAAAGATTTGTAGGATTCAACAAGATTTAAATTTTATTTTGTTTATTGATTTTATTCCGCTAAAGCGACCCTGTAGATTAAAAAAATTCAATAATATTAGCAAGTTTGTTTTTTATGATTTAATTTGACAATTAAAATAACTTCAGGATCAAAAAAACTTGAAAACAAAACATTTTACCACTGAAAATCCATGAGTTTTTTCTTGGTGTTCCAAATACCTATGGAAATTCCATGGTTTTTCTATGGTTTTTTTCATAGAATTTCAATAGAAACTTTCCGTAAGGGTAACTTAACTAAACTTTATTGTTTTTTTATTTTTATTTTTTATTTTTTACTTTATAGGTAAATTTAGTATTATATACTTTATCCATAAAGTACATGATGACCACATATTTCCACTTAAAAGTTAAATTTAGTGAAACATATTTTAAGGATGACATCTACTAAAAACCTCAGACAAAAACATTTATTCTACATTTTTAAGAATGTTATTTTATAAAAAATGAATATTTAAAAAAGTATATGCTAAATTAGAAAAAAAACTGCGAAAAAAAAAACTAACCATGAAGGTGCGAAAAGCAACCACAATTTGCAATCACAAAAAGCTTGATTTAAGCCCTGTACCTTACAACCTTTTAATCTTTTTTTTATTGTCAAATAAAAGGCTTATTTATAAAAACATTTAAAAATAAATTTTAGCATTTTATTTATCTATTCTTTGAGGCTAAAATCTGAAAAAAAACTTTATAAACAATGTTACAAAGATTATAATTAAGGGTGAGGAAAAATTTGATGAATGATAGAGAAATTAGGTTAAAACTTTGTGCCAATCAAAATATAAAATAACCAAACCAATAATTGTTTTTAATAAGTAGCTAGTCATCATTATTAACATCATTAGCAAAAAGTAGATTTAAAAACCATTAAAGAATTAAAAAACCTTAAATCAAAAAAAGCGGACATTTTTTTAAAAAAAATATTTTATAAGTAATTTGCACATAAAATTTGACTTTAAATACATCTTTAAATATACAAAGTCTAAAGGAGTTGAAAACATAAAAAACTAATATTTACCTTGATATTCCTTAAGTAAGATGTTTTATGTAAAAGTATTTCTCTCAGCAGCCCATCCATTTTAGAAACATAAAATTGAGAAGGAAACAAGAACAGTCTTGCAGACTTTTCATACTGCGCCAAAGTTTGACACCCTATTATAACAACATGTTTTTAATGAAACAACAATGTTTAACCAATAAGTTAATACAAAACAATAATATTTACAACTATAACTTCTACATAAAAAAAAAGGAATAAAACTTTATTTGTGAAGATATTTTAACAAACCTTTTCCCCATTTGGTATACTGTTTAAGCTCAATTGTAACTGTTTCATCTAAAGTATAGCATCAACATCATTTTAAGACTAAATTCTAAAAATATGTTAGATAAAAACTTATATTTAGAGTTTTTAATTTAATATTTTCAATTTCAGCAGTGCTCAAAATAACAGTTGGTCAACAATTAATGATTGGCTACTTTTTAAAAAAATTATACTTTGACTTCCTAAAAAATCAATTACGCTACTTCAAAATTTAATGTGTTAGAGTAAGAATACTCCCACAGTAACACTAAACAGCAGCTTTGGCTACTAAAGCTTCGGCTACTAAATCACTAGCTTGTGATTTAGAGTTATATAATTCAGAAAGGGTTGTTACAACAGGGTTGTTACAATGATTAAAAAAACAAATTCTTAAACTGAAGTAGTTCCTACAGTCTTAAGGAGGTAAAACAAAAAAAAAAAAAAAAGAAAAAATAGAAAAAAAAAATTCAAACTTATATAATAAAGATAATAACATTAAAAAATTAGACAGTTAAAATAATATTAAATTTGACAAATTTGATAGAATTATATTAAATAATCTTAGAATTAATTAAATAATTAAAAAAACACTAAAACATCAAAATAATATCTGTTCAACCAATCAAAACTGAATGCCTTGATAGAGCAATCATGGGACCATAACAATCTTCAGTTTAAATAAAAAAAAGCAAGCTTCTAAGACAAGCATTGTTAACCATAAAAAAATGTTTGAGACAATTCAGGAAAAATAGAATAGATTTCAGGAAAATTTTGAAGGATGCTACTAAGCAATTAAATCACATTTTTTTATTTTAACAGAAAAAATAAAAAATTAATAGTCAAAAAAATCATTAAAATAAAAAAAAAAAAAATTATTATAATGACAATAAAAAATATTATGTAAAAAATATATTCTATATTTTTAATTAAAAAAAATTTAGCAACCTTTAAATAATTATTTTGAACACTGTTTCAGAAAAAAATTTATTTAGCAGATTCAAATAAAGAATCAGAAATAAACCTTTAAAAAATAATTCAACGAATTAGAAACCTTCAAGTATTTCCATCACCTGATCAGGATTCTTCGCATTTGTAAAATACTTTTAAAAAACAAAATAAAAAAGTGCAGCTTGAAAAAATAAAACTTAATAAAAAGAAATAAAAGTAAATAACTATATAACTAAAAAAATTATATATATATATATATATATATATATATATATATATATATATATATATATATATATATATATGTATACCAGCCTTCTCTGTTTAGCCAGCGCTTACACGCTCATGTTTTTTGCGCTCACCCACACATTTAAAAATATTTTGGCAAGTGCATAAAAAAGCACTTGCTAAAAAAATAAAAGTTTTTATTTTTATTTTTGTTCATCAAATACTTTTATGAAAAATCTTTAACTTTTACGCATGAATTGTGGAACATGTTTTAAACTTGAATTGAAATAAAATGTTTCTTTTGCTGCTTTTAATTATTTTATTTTGAATTTACATAAATCATTTTTTTTTGCCATCTTTATTTTAACTATTTTAATTTAAAACTTTAAAGAAACGTTTACTTTTTTTTATCTTATTTGAAATTTTAGCAAAATGTTTGTCTTTCTGTTTTTATTTTAATCATTTTGTTAAATATTTATATAAAATGATTTATTTATATATTACTTTTTTTGCAATTTTTATTTTATTCATTTTATCTAGAATTAAAATAAAATGTTTGTTATGCAATTTTTCTTTTAATTATTTTATTAAAATATTTCTATTTTAAGTTAAATAGCAAATAAAGATTAATATCTAAAATGTTTTTTTGTGTGCTGATAAGTAAATTTTAAACAGGGAAGACTGTTTTATATATATATATATATATATATATATATATATATATATATATATATATATATATATATATATATATATATATATATATATATATATATATATATATATACCTTGGCAGGAAGCGAGAGCTTTAGTTCTTGCTCTTGCCCACACTCCCCTTAAATGGTTTACGGGAGAAATTTACAGCTCTTGCAAAAGTATATTATTCTCTCTTAAAAGTATAATTATCATTGTAACAAAAATAAAAAATACAAAGTCAAAAAAACTTAATTAATTGGATAATAAACAGGCATTGTTTTTGCAAAAAACAAAATTTATGTCTTAAGAATTTTTTCATGGCGCAATAAATGATGCATGTTATGTGTAAATTATTGTAACATTAACATTACAAACATATGCTTGTAACAAGTATAAAACCAAATTTTGTATTTAACAAGCTATTTTTATATAAATAAACAGATAGCTAGTGCAAAAACCTAAAGCTCTCGTAAAAAGCAGTTTAGAGGAGCAGCTTGCATGGCTTGCCATGTTCATTTTAGAAAAACCTTTCTCCGCTCTCGCGCTTTTTTACTCCTGCCAAGGCCTATATATATATATATATATATGCAACTAAAATGCAGTAAATATTGTTGCTATATTTATATTTATCTAAATTTTTACCCGTTGAAATATTATACTGGAATTGAATTTCAAAGGAAAGGATGGATAAACATCATCACTTCTTTTCAATTGACCAAATAAACATATAGAAATGTAAACAGGTAAACGTGTAGGCAGATGGAGAGTGCCAGGGCACTCAATCTATACAAATGAAGTGCAACAAAAAATGATTTTTAAATTAATTTTTATATAAATTTAAAAACAGTTTAAAAAAATCAAACTAAATTGAAATTAGCTTGATATATACTTACATATTTTTATAATTAATAAATTTACAAATTTTATATATTTTAATACTTAATAAATTAACACAGACAAACAGGAAAAAAAAAAAAGAGTAAAAAATTTTTTTTTTCTTTGCTGTAGGTCCTTTATTTGTAGATTGTAACTGCTTAAAACCAAACCTTCAGTAAATAAATGGACTACCCCCACAGATTGCTCTTTCATTATGAGATTGATTTCATTATGATATTGTCACTGATGTTTCAAAGACATATATAAAAATATCAGCGAAGTATGCTTCGCCATCAAAACAAAACAAAAAAGATAATAATAAAAAAAAACAATGTGAAGATGGCTGCCTAATCACACATACTGCATTTTTAAAAAAAAAATTGCTTTTATGTCAGGTAATTAGGTAACTGTTTTCATATTTTTCTTATCTTTTTGATTTTTTTTTTTTGTTTTGGTGACAGAACAAACTCAATTGTAATTTTATATTTTAACGTATTTTTTTTTCTTGTCTTAAACTACATGGCTGATTTTATTAGACATGAAACTATTTGTACCCTAAAAAGTTGTATTTTCTTTTGTTTATAAAATCTCTATCCGATAATATTACTACGCTAATTTAATATTATTAGTCGAATTACGACGTTTTTTAGGCTTTTCTATTTTAAAGTAGTTTCTAGGCTTTTCTATACGCGTTTTTTTTTTAATTTTATTGTTGAATAACAACAATAAAAAATTTTAGACAACAATTTCAAGCCAAAATTTTTATATAATTTTTAGCTGGTAGCAAATATTAGTTCATATAATAAACTAAAACATTAGCCCCCTTTTTATCTGTTTTAAAAAACCTCATTAAAAATTAAAAAAAAAACTTTATGTAAAAAATAAATGTTTTTAATATTGCTACAAATTATAAAAATTTTTTTTTAAAAAAATAATTTTTTTTCCCCATAATAAACGCTATGAGCAAAATAGCCATGTGAAAGTTTTTTCAACTTAATCCAAAGCCTTGTTTTCAATAAACAGTCTATATATCCTGAAAAACAGCAACAATGCAAAAAAAAAAAAAAAAAAACTACATAAAAAAAAACTGACTAAAAATAGTAAACAAATTAGGACTAAAATCTTTACATTTTTTTTTATATGACTAACTATTTTGTTTGTAAATTAAAAAAGAAATGATGTTCCATAAGCTACCCTTTTGTACAAAAAACACACAACCTCCTATGCATGGAAGTGTAAATATCTCCTAGGTGCACCCCCGAATACTAACAATACTACAGTAAAAGATGAAATGATCAATTAGGAAGATTTATTTAATAAGGATAATTTTTAGCACTTTCTGACAAAAGACTCTGAAAATAAACACAGTTTGTCAACTTATCCCTGCTCTAACTAGCCCTAGTAAATGTTCCTTTCAGATGCTTTTTTTATTTTAATTAAAGTAAAAATATTTATTCATAGTTTTTTTTCATATATGAAAAGCACGCATATCTTTGCAAAATATAATGATAAGTTTGCCAATGCTATGCTTCTGCAAATTTTGCAAGAATGAAGAAAAATACATGCTCTTACTAAAAAATTTTAATATCATATTATTTGTGTTAATAAACGCACACTTAAAAATATTGGTTAAATTTAATAATTGTAAAGATATAAAGAAAAAAAAAAGACCACTTTGTTTATGTTTTGTTAATCGACAGGTCTATTACCTGAAAATGGCTGTTAAAAAAGTGACTTTTAATGTTTTACTTGAGTAAACATTTCCACATGTTAGAAGGTTTTAGGTTTAATTGTACTAGAGTAAAATTTCAATTAAAAAAATAAAACATTTGAGCATTAAAATTCTTGTCTTCTGTTATATTAATTCGTACATTTTGCAGTTTTTAAAGTTTTCAGTTGACCATTTCTTTAATTTTCTAATCATTTCTAACTTAAAAAGTAATTTTAGTTTACTAACTTTTTAAGTTTAACACTAAGAGTGATTTTAGTTTATTTATATATTTAGTTTATATATTTAGCAGCAGCTAAGAAAAAATTTGTAGAAAAAAAGTAATCTATAAAAATTTAAAGTCATTAATATTACCTGCTTTAGCCTTATTTTCACTTTGCACTTCATATCACATCTTCTACGTCACCAACTGGAGCTATAGATTACACTGCAATTTATAGAGAGATGATTAGCAATGTAAAACAGTTAAAAAGGATGTTTTAAATTGCAGTTGATTTGACATGTAAGTGTGAATAAAATATAAATTCTGTTTTCAGATTTACAGAAAATGCTTTAGTTAAATCTAGATAATAAACATAAGTAATTAGGTCTGTGTGTAAGTGTCAAAAAATTATGTATAAAAAGTAACAAACAATTTACTAACGAAATAACTGTAAATGAATTTGTAAAAAAAAAAAAAAAAAAAAAAAATTTAATTGCATAAATAGTAGTCTTATTATTTCTTAGCAAAATAAAAAAATAAATATAATAATTTTTTTAAGAATGGTAGTGTCTGAAAGCATTGAAAAGCTTTTGGTCAAGCATGACCATTTATTTCAGGCATAAAGTCAATAAGGCAAATGATTGGGGAAAAAAGTTACAATATTAGTTTAAGCCAAGATACACTACACAATAGATACAAGGCACAATAGATATATTTACAAAAATGCATACAAAAAAGCATACATTTTTTTGTACGCATTTTTTTATATTACAGTTCCAAAAGTTGTAAGTATAACTAATTGTAAACTATATTTTAGTAATATAAATGATCTAGTGCAAAATACGAAATCTTCAGACTTACTAGTAACTTTTTACTCCAACACTAAAACATAACTTTAAATATTTAGCATTATCATAAAATAAATTTTAGTTAATAAATAGATAAGAAAAAAACAGTTAATAATTCAAGTTAAACAAATAATTAAAAAACAAAAATAATTAATAATTAAAGAACAACAGTTTATGAAAATAACATATATTGTTATTGTTAAACTTTTTTTAATGATTTGTATGAAAATAACATATATTGTTAAACTTCTAAAACCATGAATCAAAAATGTTTTACAGTAAAACATATTTTTTATTGATTTGTATGAAAAAAAACTTTACATTTCGGGTTTCATGTAATTCATGCAAATCAGTTTACTACAACTTATTTGTTTGAATTAAAAAAAAAAACACAATAAATACATCATATCTAAATTTCAAACTATTAAAGCTTTTAGATCATATGTGTGTTAACAATATGTTAACTAAAAAAGACATTTTTTACTATAAAAAAGTTAGACAGCAAAAAAATAATGAATAGAAAATAATAAAAATCACTTTTCTTATTTTCAAAATGAATTAAATCTTATTTAGTTACAATTTTATTTATAATTTATATAATCACTTGTAAATATAATATACAATTGAAAATGTCAAAAACAACAACAACATAAATTTCTAATTAAAAAAAGTGTACCAGTATTACTACCTTATACCCTAAAAACTTTGTGCAAATTAAGTAATAAAAATAAATATATATACAAATTAACTTTTCAAAATATATTAACAAATATTAACGTATAATATAAAAAAAAGTAGTTAAACATAATTTAACATTTCTTTGGTTTGCTTTGCAAGTATTTTACAAGAAACACTGACTGTACATTTATCAATACTCACTATGCACTTATCAATACTGACTGTGTGTTTACCAATATTGACTGTGTATTTATCAATCCATGCTGTGCATTTATCAATCCATGCTGTGCATTTATCAGCACTAACTAATTGTTCATCAATGCTGACTATGAAATTAATATTAAATGTACATCAATTATTTATTCCTGGCTATGTATTTATTAATACTGGATGTGCATTCTTTATTAGTGCATGTATCTTTACCACCTTTATTTTTTAAGTTAATTCCTTGAAGAAAACTTGGAGGTACTGGGTGCATGATAAAACCATGTTAAAATTCAAAAATAATAAAGCATGCTACAATGCATAAAAAATCATGCAAAAATGCATATAAAACAGTATACTTGATTACTGATGTGTAGTTAAATATACTCAAGCACAAATCAGTTAGTGTTAACATGTCCAGGAAACATCACAGGTGATGCTGACCTTATGTGCATATCAGTAGATCTCTTCTGATATGGCTTTTTATAAGAAGCAACACAAACTGCAACACAATCTCGTGCAAAATTCATTGGTGGTCCAACATACCATTGGTTAGTTAAGGGATCATATCTAATGTAAAAAATTACAATAAATGATATCAGTACAAAGTATAGTATATTATGTATGTATGTGTATATATATATATATATATATATATATATATATATATATATATATATATATATATATATATATATATATATATATATATATATAAATATATATTTATATATATATAAAATGTTATTAAATATAAAATATAAAATTTATTCAAGTTAATGTTTATATAATGATCAAAAGTTATTTTAATAAATAATGTATTTAAAGTTCAATTGTGATGATGTTTTGTTGGGGTTACTAATATGTCAAAATAGGTATTGAACTTTTATCTACTATATTTATAAAAAATACTAATGGGGTATTGAAACAGTAAAAAAAAAAAATAGCATATATTTAATTCTTATAGATTCCCTTTTTTTGATTAAGAGCTGCCTACTTAGAATCAGGCAGAGCTACCTGAGCTCAATAGTGACCTTTTTTATCTTTTTAATATGTTGTCGCTATTTATACTTAACTCTGAAATATTTTTCAAAAAATATTTGATTGTTCTCTAAATTTTGGACTTCAAAGGTTGACAAATATTTTAGGATAATCGACCAAGATGTGTCATATGCATTTTCAAACTTGAAATTAGAACAGAGCCCATGGTTATTTTATTTCACTATTGTATGTAGTTTAAACCTAAAAAAAGGATAAAATATATATGGTAGACAGATGGCTAAAAAAATGATTTTTCATTATTTTCAATTTCATTTTCATCCATATGCTTTAGTAGACTACTAAAGCATTTGGAAATAAATTGTACACTACCGTAGTGTATAATATTTTTAATATATTAAATCATCTAGTAAGTACATAAATATAAAAATATCCCTGAGGAAATAAAGGGTTGAAGTTGTTCATAAGTAACCTTGTAGGGGAGGGAAGTGGGTTAGGATTTTGTGACGAGGAGAAAGGAGGGGGTCAAAAAGCTTCACAAAAAAGCATGATATTTATAAACAGCCCCATATTAGCTTAACTCAAATAATTATTAAAGAAAATTCCACAAATATTATTTTTAATCTCTTATAGTTTAAAGAATAATAATAAGAAAAACTGAAAGCTCAGGTTTCTCTTATTTAATAATTTTTGAAAAACTAGCATCAGCTATTTACATTTTATAAATAAAAGCGCTAAAAGATTTAAACGCTGTTTTTGAGTTGAATTTCACAACTAAGAAGCTGTTCATAAACTAAATAACACTTTTTTGGAGCTTTTTGAACTATTCCCCCTCTTGACACGAAGTGTCACAAAATTCAAACACTTACTCCTCCCTTCCCCACCCTCCTACATCTTTACATAATTTATGAATAGCCTAAGGCTTTTCTTTTTTTTTTTTTTTAAGTTGATTTAGGTGCCCAAAGAAGTCCTTATGGTCTTATCACAGAGCACCGCGGAAAAGCATTTAATAGGAAGTTAACGCCTCCTTCCCAACCGATGTTGCAAAACTTGCCTAGAGGTGGGGTTTGAACCACAGGTCTTACGTTTTTGAGGCAAGTGCGCTACCACAGCGTCACAATTGCTTTTCTTCCTCAAAGATATTTTTAATACTTTGAGATTCTTTACTAAATGAAGATTTATAATAAAAGAAAAATTATCAATGTATGGTTCAAGGTTATTATATATATATATATATATATATATATATATATATATATATATATATATATATATATATATATATATATATATATATATATATTGTGTACTTTTGAAGCATGATATTTAGATAGGGTAAACATTTTACTGTACCTGTTTTATCATTTTCAGTTTTGAACAAGCCAATAAACAATAACAAAGTGAAATATCCATTACAAAGTATGTACTTTGTTCTATTTTCAAGATTGAAAATGCTTTTGAAACCATTTAGTGATTATTTCTAAAAATATTAGAAATTATTTCTGAAAATATTAGAAATATCTTTTAATAACACTATTAAAAATGTATTTTTGATACTTAGAAAAAGTCACTCTTAAATTTACTTAAATTTAATTAAATTTAATTAAACTCAATTTTATGTTCCCTTAAACAATTTTTTAAGACATTGTTAAAGTGTCTTTAAAAAAGTTTTTTGATTTTCTAATTGCATTACAATTAAATAATTGATATTCAATTTGAATATGTTGGCATCAGGGTTTGCAAAAACTTAATGTATTTAATAAAACCTGGCATAGAGATTTTTTGTTAGTATTACTTTATTTTATATCTATTTTCAAAATTTTAATTTTGTTTAATAAGATTGATAATAATTTTCATCAAGTTCATTTAAAGTTTAAAGTTTATGTTAATAAAAATTTAAAGTTTATGTTTTATGTTAATAAAAATTATGTTATTTAATCTAAGTATTCTTTTTTTAAAAATGCTGTAGATATTTTATGTTATTAAACACGATAAAAAAATTTGTTTATTGATAATGTTAAATCACTTTCTAAGAATTACTGAGTTTTGAAACTCTTTCCGTCATGCTTTCCTAATTCAGTTTTTCATTTTCAGTTTTTTTATACTCAAAATTTTTTGTCAAATATCCTAATTTAACATAAGTATTAATATTTTGGAGTTCTTATCAATAAACTTTTAATCTCAAACATTAAATGTTTATTGATAAGAAGATTCTTATCACTAATATAAACTTTCTGAGTAAACATATAATTCTATATTTAATTTTTCTATTAGCCTTAAGTAATAAGTAGAGATGCACCAAAATTCCATTCCAGCCAGAATTCGTGACTTTTAGGTTATTCCATTTCCAGCCGAAATTACAATATTTCAGGCCAGAATTCTGGAATTTATTTTTTACCTTTTTTTTAAGACATGTGACACAGACTGTGTAAAAAATCATTGTCCTACAGGGCACCGAAGAACTATAGGTAAACCTAGGTAAAAAATACAAAATTCTTAACAAACACAATGCAATTTTACTTGCAGTAATCAAGGATTTCTAGAAGTTTAGGAATATCGTGGTGCAAAAAGAGTTGCTATCCAGTATTGGGCAACAAACTAGTTCTTTTTTCATCAAAACTATTACCTGCCTCTGAGAATAGTCCCATTTTGAATGGTACTTAAATTTTAAATAATTAAAAAGTATAAGATTCTTAATACAGTAATTATTTCAATTTTAACCTAAATGGAAAAATAGAATTAAAGAAATAATTTTTAATATAAATATTATGCAGGTTAAAACTTTCAATAAATAAAATTATAAGAAACAAATAAAAACAACGTATTAGATATAAATGAAACAAGAATCAAGTTACTGAAAAAGGTCATATATATATATATATATATATATATATATATATATATATATATATATATATATATATATATATATATATATATATATATATATAGCCACGATGCTGAAGTACAGGCTTTCACTTTCTATCATGAAGGCAAAAAATTACCTAAATATAATTCTCATTCCGGAATTCCAAATTTCCAATCCAGTACACCCCTTAGTTATAAGGGGTGTATGTGTCTTTTTGTTTAATTAGAACTGTTGAAAAATATTTTTTATAAAAAAATTATTTAAAAAAGTTACTTTTCAATGGTATTTAGATGTTTTTCCCCATCATTTCCTCCACAAACATACAGAAAACCATCTAAAACACCAACACCTGCACCACTACGGGGTGAAATTAATGGAGCAATAATTAGCCATTGGTCTAAAGCAGGATCATAACGCTCAACAATAGGATAGCGAGTAGAATTGTCACACCCACCAATTGCATAAATATATCGATTCAATGCTGCACATGTTACTTGTTTCCTGTGATAAAAATAACAAAAAAATAAATAAAAATAAAAACATAAATAATCAAAAACATAAATAATCTTACAAAACAACTTACAAAGATTTTACTCTCAATTCTCAGAGATCTCTAAAAGAGATCTTTCTACCCATAAAATCAGTTCTCATATAAAATTTTATAGTTATTTTATCAATTTGGCAGCATTATTTTCAAATCGCATATTTAGCAGAACACTTCTCTCAAAAATTTGAGATAGCCTTTTTTAGCTGACCCAGAGAAATAGGATGTGGGGTTTGAAAGCCCTTGACTCTGTGATCACAAAAATGTTAAAGTTGAAATCAAAAAATATCCAAGAAAATAATTCAACATTTAATTTTATTACTATCAACATCAATAGTGTAAATGACAGCATTCTAATTTTTGACATTTCTACAGCACATATAAACATAAAATTTTTTAAGCAACAGTCAAGACTTAATATAAATATACATTCTGAATAAAAATTATGTTTACAGATTCTTTTACAAGTGCATGCTGTTAAAATCAGTCACACACTTTTGAAGTTGAGACTCATATTCTAGGTGTGTCTTTTGGCGCTTGTACCTTTGCCAATGAGTTTGAAATTGATGGTGCACAGCTTAGTGGTTTGCTCACTGTAAATACCCAAAGAAGTGTTTTTTCTTGAGATGAAATCCTTGATGTGAAAAAACACAGGATGAACTTTTGGAGTTACACTTCCTGCTGGTAGTGCCAAGAACGATTGCTTGAAAAGTTTAATTTTTGTGCATAGTCATGCTGCAGTTCGTTTCCAAAGCAGGCAATAACCACAGCATCAAACTTTCTCAGAGCATCAATAAGTGGAAAAATATGAACTGCTGCCTTCTCCTCGGCCAACTGTTGAAGAAGATCAACATTTTTGAGAAGCTTGCGGCAATCATTGCCAATAAAATTACCTCTATGGTAAGGCTGAAGATTAATATGAAGAGCAGTTGCCCACTCAGCAGTTGGAGGCCAGACTGTTTTGAGAATTTTGTAGAGGTGGTTAACAACTCCAAGCAAAAGATGAAGCTCCATGGGAGGGATAATTTCCAAAACCAGACTAGTATAATCTGCATGAAGAATAGGTTTATGGATGACATTTCCATATTTCTTGGCATTTTTTACATTACTGCCAGCAGAAGCAAATGCTTGAAAAGAGGGTTTGAGGGAACCAAAAGTTCGTAGGTCTCCACATTGAGCAAGGTTAGTTGAAGAAGCTGTGCACCATGTGCATGGATGCATGGTAGCGTGAGATTGAAGACCACATAGAATATTGACAACTTTCAAGTCACAAGATACCACAAAATTGAGTCAGCTTTGATCAAGGAGAAAACATTCTTGAGGTTAGAATAGTTTTTAGACATTCCTTCACAGACAGCAACAATAAGTTGCTGATTGCAACCACTATCTTTGGAGCTCTTTACTGTCAGGAGTCGTTTACTTGGTGGAGAACAAACTTTGCAGTGCTGTAATGTTTCTACAACCCCAAGAGAAAATTTTAGAAATCCAGCTCCCCCATCTATTCCAAGCTTGACAATGTGATCAGAAAAAATTTTTCTTTCTAAAAGGATGTGCTCCAGCAGTTCAGAAAAATCTTAACAGTGAATAATTGATGCCATTTCGACTTTTGACCCTTTCTCTTGCATGACTTCTAGCTTTGAATATGTGAAAAAACTTGCAAGATTGGTTCCTATTTCAAGAAACTTAGAGTCAATGTATGGTTCAGTGACCTTAACCTGTGATACTTGATTAAGAGTTGATGCTAGCTTTCTTATGTGATTGTTGGACATTCTTGTATTGATCTGAATTTGGGCAAGATCTTGTGCTGTCACTCTTGTAGGGGCCTCAAACAACCGCCTAGAGCTTGAAGAACCTGTCAGATTATAAATTTATAATTAAGTACATCGTGTTTAGGTTTAAAAATAAATTTATGAGCATAGCAAAAATCTACCTGGTGTCAATGTCAACAGTCGTCCACCTTGAGCTTGATTGTGGCAAATTGTTCCATGTGGTGATGCCTCTTTTTGACTGATAACAGGAGCAGCTATTTGGTCATAAACTTTGCTGCATGCAACCTCATGTTTTCCTGAAATGTGTATTTATTGCAAGGATGGGACATACCTTTGCCAAGAACTGCAAGACATTTGGAGCATCTATGGTCACACTTCTTGTTTTCAGTCTTCTGCCAATTTTCCAAAGGATGCCTTTGATTGAGCTTGAGTTGACCAATTTGACAGATTTGGCAAGCTTGCTCTCTTGTGGAAATCTTGGGATAATTTCTTGAAAACTGAATGGCAGTGGTATGCTTACTTCTTTGCCTTCATCTTTTCTCCTCATTGCTGAACAGCATTTTTCATAAATTCCTTTTGGAACTCTTGAGTCTTGAAAATCAACATCTCTTTGGAGAACTGTCTTCACTTTTTCAATTATTAAAGGTGTTACCTCTCGTTTTGCCTTGTGCATGCAAAGAAAACAGACAGTTTTCTTCATGTGATTTTGCAAAAGTGGGCATTTTTATTGCGGCAGTTGAAAATTATGCTAATCATGAATTTTTTGTAAACAAATAAATCATGCATTTTCCCGAAAAATTTACTTAAAATGGGAATTTATTGTAAGTGTACCTTGATCGTCACATACAAAAGAACACCAGTCAGTAATACAATTATATATGTTGTAGAAATGTTAAAAGCTGTCATTTACTCTAGTGCTGTTTATAGTAATACATTTAAATGTTGAATTATTTTCTTGGATATAATGTTTTGATTTCAACTTTTACATTTTTGTGATCAGAGTCAAGGGCTTTCAAACCCCACATCTTGTTTCTCTGGGTCAGCTAAAAGAAGTTATCTCAAATTTTTAAGAGGAGTGAGAATAGAACTAATCTTTAACTTTCAGAACTAGGGTTAGCATTTGGCAATTCAGACCTAACTGTCAACTTCAAAGTGATTGAGGTCAGCAAAAAAATGCTAACCTGGTTTTTATGTTTTATGGTAACTCTTGTGTGTTTTTTTGCCAACCTAATGCTGACCTTTAACAGGCAATTGATTGCCAACCTTATTTTTCATAATTCCGAGGGTTGAATCTTAAAGTAAAACAATACTCAAAATAACTAGAAACATAAAATGTCACGATAAATACCCAAGTATATAAAATGTCAAGATAAATACACAAATATGTCAAGATAAGGGAAGTTTTGTTATAGTAAAATACAAAATTGTAAAGCAAAAACAATTTGTTATACTTTCATAATGTCAAAGTTAAGATAAAACTTGTAATTAAAATAACTAATGCTAACTATAATAGCTTTAAATAATTCTTGTGCGCAAAATTTTTTTCATTAAATTAAAAACAAAAATATGAGCTATGAAAAAGTAATTTTCAATGCTTAATTATTTTTTTATGATTTTTTTTTATGAAGTTTTTGAAAATTATTATTTATTATTATTTGAAAAGTTCAATTAAAAAAGATTTCACTAATTTATTACCACCTAACACATTATTTTTAGACTAATATAAATCATTAGAAGACGTTCAATATTTAGAAATTTAGATACTAAGTCAAAATGATCGCAGTTTTAAAATTTTTTATAAATTGGCAACAGTTTTTTTCAAAATTAAGATGCCTTATAGCGCTTTTTGAATTTTTTTCATAAAATTATTTAAAAAATGTCAACAGAAAAAAAAATTGTTTTGGAAGTTGTGAAAGTTTTCATTGCAGATGTCTCAACCAGTCCACTAGGAGGTCCACCAGTCCACTAGGAGGTCTTTGGACAACCAGTCCACTAGGAGGTCTTTATCCATAAGCAATACATTTACAAAGAATAAGCATTTTTATTTCATCTCATTTCTTACATATTATGTTAAGATAAATCAAAATCTCCCTTGGCAACTGCAATTTGAGATGTATTGTATTCATTGTGAAAGGTAATTTTTTATTATCATAAAAAAATAACATTCTTTTTATTCTTTAGACAAGTGTATTATTACTTTGTTAACTGATAAAGTTTACGCAATAATAACAAAAATTTAAGGAGACCATCTTTTCTCTATTGTGTAAATTGATTACTGAAATTCAATTTTAATGATGAATATATTGGCACTCTCTACGCAGAAACAGCTAAAAACAATAAGAGATGCTCCTGGAAGTGAAAAAACATAGTAAACCCAAATATATAACCCAAATAAGAAGATTTTGTACAATAAAATCCAACCTCTATGATAAGATGCTTTCGATCCTGGTCAAAGTTGGCAAAATTCTTAGAAAAGTCATTAGCTCACACAAAACTAATAATTCACCTAGTTGTAAAAGAACATTTTTTTCAAAAAATATTTTTAAAAGAGTAAAATCTTTTTAAAAACATTTAGCATATTTATACATTAGGCATATATATTGTATCATCATATCAATTTTGGAGTTTAATTTAAACAGTTCTAAAATTCTGAACGACAACATTTTTTACTGAAATTGTACAGACCCTTAGATAATAAATTATTTTTACCTTGCCACACTTATTGAGCAAATGCTTGACCAAGTATTTGTCTCAACAGAATACCGCTCACAAGAACGCAGATTGTTGCCATCAGAACCAGCAATTGCATAAATCTTGAATAAATAAAAACTTAAATAATCACAATGACTCTAAACATGAAAATTAAAAGCACTATACTAAAAATCTACTAGAACGTATATAGATCATCATTTGCATATTAGTTTTGTTTATCTTTATAGCATACACCTTTTCACAATAACGAAATAAAAAAAAAAAAAAAAAAAAAGGAATAATGAAAGAATGATTGCAGCCCTATCCCAAACCCTCAGGTGATAAACCCCACTCCTTTGCAGCTGCAGGCTATAAGATAGCCGATATATGTACTGAAGCTTCCAGCATCAGGCTATTTCAGCATGACATCAAGTTCTTATCTAAATATGCATTTAGTTATATATATATATATATATATATAGCCTTCTCAGGAAAGGCGTGCGGTTTTTCGCCTCGTATGACCACACGCGATTGTAATATTTTAGAAAACATGAACACGGCTGTTTGCAAGTTTTATAATAATGCTGAAAAAGTTTCAAAAAAAAAAAAAAAAAAAAAAAAACTAACAAAATAAAAAGAGATTGAAATAGAAAAAAATAAAAACAAATTAATAATTTAAATAATTTGTGTACTGTTTTTATTTTTGTTTCTTTAGAGTTACATTCAGCAACAAAATTAGATAAGGCGAAGCAAAAAAAAAAAACAGTTAGAAGTCTACAATAAAAAGAATGATTTTCCTTTTCTTAATTTTTTTTAAGAGAATAGCAAAAATACAAATTGCAATGTTTGTAAAATTTATTTGCATAAATTTAATGTAACAACAAGGGTTGAATTAAGCAAATGCAAAACGCAAAATCTGGAAAAATATCTAGTATTCAAAATTTTAGTTTATACAAAACTGTGTTCCTTGTTTTTAAGGGGAGAATCAACTTAAATTTGTTAGCGAAAAAATCAAAACTAAAACAATAAACTTACGATTACAAAAGTAATAACACTCTAGTCACTAACTGCATTACAAAAGTAATAACACTATAGTAGTATTATTACTTTTATAACGCACTTAAAACTTTTAAAATTCATTCTTTGTTCATATATATATAACTACAAACGCATTTATAGTTATATATATATATATATATAAAAAATATATATATATATATATATATATATATATATAAATATATATATATATATATATATATATATATATATAAATATATATATATATATATATAAATATATATATAAATATAAATATATATATATATAAATATATATATAAATATATATATACATATATATATATATATATATATATATATATATATATATATATATATATATATATATATATATATATATATAAAGTAAGAAATTAAATTAAATTTAAACTGTCACATGACAAACATAAATTTCACTTCTGTTAAATTTTCAATTAGATTATTAAAGTCCAATTGGCATTTTTTAATATATATTTTTTTTATTTATTTTTATTTATTTATTTTGTATGTATTAAGATGCTCCCAGAAGTCCTTACGGTGCATCGACTTCAAAAAATGGAAAAATTTAATTTTAACTACTCGTTTAAAAATATTCCAATACAAGATGAAACTAGCTACAAAATAAATCTTGTTGAAAAAATAGAAAGCTTTATAAAAAGAATACGCTGGAAAACATATTTTCACATGAACAAAACCGAAACAAGTACACGAGAAAATTTTGGTTTAAAAACAAAAAAAACACACCCACAAGTCAAAGAATTGCAATTGTGGGGGTGTTTTTAAGAAATGCAAAAAAACATCCCCACAATGCAAAGAAAGTGCAAAAAAAAACTAGAAAATTCAATCAACCTCGAGGCAAATAGCATAGCAACTAAACTAAATATAAACAAACAAATCAATACAATTGCCAAATCAGAAGCATTTATTGCATTAAAAGACCACAAAAACAACTTTGAAAACCAAAAACCTTGCCGCTTATTAAATCCAGCAAAAAGTGAACTCGGTGTTGTCAGCAAAACATACCTAGATAAAATCAACAAGGACTTAAAAAATAAATTAAAACTAAACCAATGGAAAAACACCGCAGAAGTAATCAAATGGTTTACAAACATAAGCGACAAGCAACACTGTGTATTTATACAACTTGACATCAATGAACTTTACCCATCCATCACAAAAGACATACTAAACAGCGCTTTAATATTTGCAAAACAACACACTGAAATCAGCAGTGAAAAAATTCGAGTCATAAATCATTGCAGAAAATCGCTATTATTTTTTAAAAAGGAAACATGAATAAAAAAGACGTATAATGATTGTTTTGACGTCACAATGGGTTGTTTTGATGAAGCCGAAGTATGCGAACTGGTGGGTTTATACATTCTAGACTCTTTATCCAAAACCATTACTAAAAATGATATAGGTCTTTAACGAGATGACAGATTGATGCTGATGCGCAAAAAAACTACCGCACAGTTAGACAAAGTCAGAAAAAATATAATTGAGATATTTAAAAAGATCGGATTTCAAATAGAGATTCAAACCAATTTAAACAGTGTTAATTTTCTTGACGTAAATTTTAATCTTCAAAAAAACTCCTACCAACCTTTTAAAAAACAAAATAACCAACTGCTCTACATCCACACCAAATCAAACCACCCGCCCCAAGTTCTTAAGCAGATCCCTCTCTCCATTAATGATCGATTATCGCAAAATTCTTCCAATGAAAAAATATTTAACGCTTCAAAAACAAAATACGAAGAAGCAGTTAAACAAAACGGTTTTAAAAACTTTAACTTAAAGTACAACCCAAAAAATAAGACACCTATCAAAAGAAAAAGGAATATAATTTGGTTTGGCGTCTCCACCAATGTTGGCCAAATCTTTTTGCAATTAATAGATAAACATTTCCCACCTTCAAATCCATTACATAAACTATTCAATCGAAACATTACAAAAATTAGCTACAGCTGCTCAAACAATATTTCAAAAATTATAAAAAGCCACAACAAAAAAATAAATTTAATTAACACCACTGAAAATCTCCCTTGCAATTGCAAGCAAAAAGAAATCTTCCCGCTGAATAAAAATTGTAGAGCAACAAACATCATTTACAAATGTATAACATCTTCCCTGAACACTCCCAGCAAAGCATACATTGGTTTATTAGAAGGAGTGTGGAAAAAGAGGTATGCAAACACCAAGCAATCATTTTCAAATAAGAAACTTTCAAATGCAACCACTCTCTCAAAACATATATGGGAAACTAGAGAAAAACTGAAAGAAACACCAGAATTAACTTGGTCTATCCTAAAAAAAACCCCCGCCTACAACAATGAAACAAAAAAATGTTTACTATGTTTATATGAAAAACTGATTATTTTGCTTTATAAAAATGCTGAAGAGCTACTCAATAAAAAAACAGAGTTGATCTGCAAGTGTCGTCACGAAAATAAATTTCTATTGAGCAACCACAAACCTGAAGATTAGATACAAACGGTCGTAACAATAAAAAAAAAGTTTTTCCGTATAGGTTTTTTCTGTATAGTTTCAATTGTATATAATTTTTTAAACAAACAAACTATATTTGTATTTCACCTGATGATTGCAACAGCATGAAACTTAAAGTTGTGAAAATCACATAGTTTTATATATATATATATATATATATATATATATATATATATATATATACATATATATATATATACATATATATATATATATATATATATATATATACATATATATATATATATATATATATATATATATATATATATATATATATATATATATATATATATATATATATATATATATACATATATATATATATATATATATATATATATATATATATATATATATATATATATATATATATATATATATATATATATATATATATATATATATATATATATATATATATATTACCTGTTCTGATGCCAAACATGTACAACATCCAACCCAAAATCGAGTTTGGTTCATCGAAGCAATAGGTGACCATTTACCAACTTTTGTATCATAACATTCAGCAGTGTTTAGAGGTGTTGAACCATTAAAACCACCTGAAATTATTTTAACCTATAAAACTAATTGGTTATAATAAAAGATGATATTAAACAAAGCTTATCATAAACTTCTGGTTTTATTATTTTTAAATATATTTATTTACAACTTATTTATAACTAATTGTATTTTATTTATTATTTAATAAATTTAATGAATAAATTTAAATCTATCAAATTCAAGTAACTCTTTTTTTTTTTTAGCTATCTTAAAAAGTAAAATTTTTAAATTTATTATTCTAAATTTATATTTAAGCATTATTGAAACAGAAATTCATTCAACAATTATAATAAAATTGAAATAAAATATAAATAAAAATATAAAATATGAATAAAACTGCTTGAAATTAAGAAAACTAACCAATAGCATAAATTTTTCCAGCGCACATAGTAACACCTACACCATTACGGTTAGATGACATCTCAGGTAATGGTATCCAAACATTGTTGTAAGGGTCGTAGCGCTCAGCAGTGTTTAAACGACTAGTATCATCACTTCCACCGCAAATGTATAATGCACCACCAATAGATGCTATGTCAGCTCCAAAACGACAAATGCTCATTTCACCTATAAAAAATACAATAATGATAATTGTAAATTATTAACTATCACTTAAACATTTTAAATAATTATTCAACTTAAATAACTTAAAAATTATTATTACATTTTATCGTTATATGGTAAAATTATAGATTAACAATTATTGTATATAATATCATTATAGATTAACAATTATTGTATATAATATCATTATAGATTAACAATTATTGTATATAATATCATTATAGATTAACAATTATTTATGATAATTTTTACTAATATAATTGTTAAACAGTTTTAATAAAAATTTCATGAATTACCAATAGGTTTCCATTTTCCTTCCTTTGGATCATACTTTTCTGCTGTTTTCATAGCCTCTCTTCGACTCATTCCTCCAACAGCATACATTACATGGTGGGAAGCAGCAAATTTTCGAGGAAGAATGCAAGCAGATGCTGTTTTCAATTTTGGAAGTAAAAGAAACTTAGTAGCCTCCAAAAGTAAGTCACTTAAAAATTTTTAGTAAAAAATATAATTTTTGTACACAAATAGTATTATATTATAAAAGGTTATAATAAGACTATATTATAATAAGACTACATATATTTATTAATAATTAATTATTTAATAATCACTAAATATGTTTGAATAGCTATAAATTTATTCTTTCAAAATTTATTTATCATCAATATATATATATATATATATATTTGTATTTATACTATATATTTACAACTTATGATGTTTTTGTATACAATAACTAAAAGCAAATGTAGCTTGTATAAAAATATATCAAATAACTGAATATTATTTTAAATTGAGAATTGCTTCAAAACTATGTACATATTTTTTTACCAGCATAAACGATTTTCTCTGACAATATCTTCATTAGCAACACGCTCCATTAAAAACTCTGCAGATAACAAAGGGAATCTGACATGAGAAAACAATTCTGCTGCATATTTCTAATCAAGAAATGAAATAAATATCTTTTAACTTTTAATGAGAGTTTTAAGTGTATTTAAAAATGTATTCAAAGTAAAATTAAATCAAAAAGTTCAAATAAATATTCAAAAAAGAAACAAGTTAAACTTTATATTGAAAAGTTTAGGCACATTTTAGTTTTTTTTAATTTAATTATTTTTTAACGAAGAATAAATCATCTTTCTGTGCCAATAAAACTTATGGCAAGAAGGGAGCAGATGATGTAACAAGCATGACGGAGTACTATTTTGACTACATTTTAAAAGAAGATTTATCACATTTGCAAATTTTTTGTGATACAGGTGTTGGGCATAATTTAAATTATAGACAATTATTCATTTTTAACAATGTAGTAAATAACAAACAGTTTCAATAAATCAAACTATCTTTTCTGATAAGGGACTACAGCTACACAGGGTGTAACCGTTAAATGTTATTAGTTAACCAGAAAGTTTGAGCAGAGCTACCAGTAAACTGGATGCAAAAACTTTGTACCTATGGTAAGTAGTCTTCACTATTTGTACCTATGGTAAGAAGAACTAGAACACAATTAACTAGAAGAAATAAAAGACAATTCTCTTTTCAAAGGTCAAGCTTTTGATAAAGGTCAAACTCTTGATAAAGCTAGTGTTTATCTCCAAAACCTTTGCATCTGACACGGTCAATCCTATGTTGCATGTTCAAGAACAAAACCATTTAATACCTTATTTTAAACTTAAAATAAGGTATTAAATTATTTTATCTTACAGATAATTTGTTTGCTTTTATTATATTAAAAAACAGGTCATTTTGATAATTTGTTTTTTAAAATTGATAAACATTTGTTTCAAGGTATGTCATTGAACAAATATTACTAAAATGAAGTTGTATTTGTAAATGTTTCTAATTTATATACTTTTTTAAATTTATATTTTTAATTATTTTTATTTGTTAGTTATTATGTTTACATGTGTTAAGGCTATTATAGGTTTATAGTTTGTTAGTGTTAATATTTTTTATATATATGAAGTGATTCTATGTTTATATATGAAGTGATTCTATGTTTATATATGAAGTGATTCTATGTTTATATATGAAGTGATTCTATGAAACATAGTATGTTTGTAATGTGTTATGTTATGTGTATAGATGGTAAGTGGTTATTATTTTGTTTGCATGCTTTCAAATTGTTGTGACTTGGCTTAGTTTACAGCAACAGTGTTTGAGCTTGCTAGCCAAGTGGTGTATTTTGCTACGTGTGACTTAGCTTTGTTGAAAGCAAGAATGTTGTCTGTGCAAGTAAAGTGGTGTACTGTCATGATAAAACATAAATTAAATCTGTTTGTAGTTAGTATATTCGTAAAATGTGTTGCAAAAATAATGTTGAAGGAATGTGTTTAAAAGAAATGTTGAAAAGATATGTATTTTTTTAATATAATATTTTTATTATTTAAAATTTTAAGTTAATTTTATTGAAAAGTTATATACTTCATTAAATATTTATATACAGTTACTTTTTGAGTAAACTTAGTAGAAAATATATATACTCTGTTACTTTTGTTAACAATTTGTGTTTTGTTAATTTAAAAAAAAATTTGTTTAAAAGATATATACTCTTTTTTTTTTTTTTTTTTTTTGATAAATAAATTATATACATACAAACAAAAAATAATATATACATACATACACAAATTTTAATTATTCTGCATTGTGTTATTGACCTTTTTTTATTTAGAATATTAAATATATATAAAAAAAATTAAAATTGTTTAAGAAGTTTCAATATTTCCAAGTTTTTTTACTTAAAGCAAATATATTATTGTTTATAGAGATTTTCCATTATTAGTTTTGTATTTACCTATTTATTGCATTAAATACTATTTCTTGTATTAAATACGTTTCAAAGTAATAAAAGGAATATTTTGACAGAGGATTACATTTCACCATTCAATGCTAGCAGTATTTGCTGAGCGGACAGGGCTTATAACTTTTTTAATTTGCTTTATTTATGAGTTCTTGTAATTTGAATGTAATGGCCACGACATATTTCCATTAAATGATCAGATCTCTAAATTATGACAAAAAAAAAAAAAAAAAAAAAAAAAAAAAAAAAAAAAAAAGATTTTAGATTCTTATCCTAGATTTGAGATTCTTTTTATTTTTTATATCTTAAAAATCACTTGTGCTTTGTCCAGATTTGAATAAGATTTTTAATAAACGCATTGTTTAGGTGAAATGAAAATCATAGTTTAGTAATATGATATTATTAATCTAATAATTGATATTATTAATATAATTAAAAAACTGCCAATAATAATATTATCTTAAATTTTTCTGAGATCTTAAATTTTTAATGAAATGATGAAATGATTTTGATGATGACAGAAATGTTGTATTTTGACAACAATATTTAATTAATATGTACCAGAACAGATTATTTAAACACCTAAACCAAAAAAAATTACAAAATCTCTTGTTTGCACATAATACACAGACAAAATCTAATTCCAAATAAAAGAATTAAAATGATTTAAAATTGCCTTAATTACACACAGAGTTGTCAGTCAATCTAGATTGTCTTTAATAAATGATAAATCTATTGAAACAAAAGTTTAAAATTGATTTCCAACTGTCAAGGACATAAATTGTACACTTGCATTGTCAAATATCAAATTAACTATAATTCTAAAATTGACTATTTAAAAAATTAGATGTAAAAACAACTTGTCAAAAAAATTTAGTGGCAAGGTTAGTATAAGCTGCTTTGAGGAAATTCTTTGTAAATCTCAGATACAGTTTGAACTTAGAAAAACTAGAAAAGAGTTCTCTGATATAGAAATTTACACTTTCATTCAAAGTAAAATAAAGCTAAATATTTATTTGGCTTTATTTATCAATATAATTTACTCATTCCCAGAGAGTTGAGAGGTGTTTAAAATTAATTTCAGAATATTATTTTTTATCTAACACCCTACATAGATTTGAAGCCAAAAAATGTAACAAAACTACTTAGTTAAAAGTTGCATCATGGGTTTACGTCAAAAGGATATTCTCAGCCATACAATGATTTAATTTTGCTGCATGCTCAAAATAAGTAATTAGCTTTAGTTTTATTTTGGTTAAAAAAAAAAATGTGTAAAAATTTATATGTAAAATG